ACCTCCATTACACTGCCTCTTTTGCTGAGCTCACCTCTTCTGCAGTGAATTTGGTGCTGTTGACTTTGCTTTCACTGTGTCAGTCCACTGAAACTCCCTTCCTGATGTCCAGTTTATACATCACCTGTGGCTTTGGCCCACTGTTTTATTTAATAAACACAGCATTTTCGTGCTGTCAAGCAAGTTCAGCTTAAGAATTAGCAGGATTTTTTTCCACTCTGCTTTAATTTCTCTTTCCTCTCCTCATACCTTTAAATCCGAACTTCCCTCCCACTAATGACACTCCCTAGGGCAGGGGGTGAACTGCAATCTGGAAACAGGCCATGGCTCTTCCACGAAATCTTCTGGCTTCTGCGGAAGAACATCCATTTCCTGGAGCCAGCCTGAGACAGACAGTGCTCCACAGTCAGGAACAGGACTGGAATCCAGTGACCCTTACTCCATACGGAGTGCTACCATGCTCACAGCAGAGAAATTCCTCCTCAGCTGCCTATATGCTGAATTTCTGCCTAACTCTTGTCAGTGCTGGGGATCAGTAAGAAGAAAGTGTTTTCCAAACAAGGAACAACTTTGCGCATTTGTTACTTGAGTTTTGTTCTGAATGCTGTTCAGGGGTATTGGTTTTTGTTTGTTTGTTTTGGTTTTTTCTCTCTCTTCTCCTTCCCCCCCTAGATTTTGCAGTTGGGTTGGGTACACCCCTCTCCCAACCTTAGGTGGTGTGTGTCACCTAATCCCCTCTTAAACTCTTCTCCTAAAATGTTCCCCTGAAGGCAAGTCAGGCATAAGAAATTTTTAGCTTAAGCCAAAGTGTTAATGTGTTTCCTATTAGGTTCAAGTGAAAGTCCCAACATCTTACTCTGCAGGCCAATTATCACCAGTCACAATTAACCTTCAGTAATTACTTCTGGTTTGAATAACAGTACATCTTCCACAAATTGTACACACTCCCAAAGTTTAAACCTGTGCTTAAACATTGTCATACCTTATAAAAAAAAGAGTTCAATCCTGCTGGGACAATCCTATATTCAGGAAAATGACAGTCGTGAGCAGAGGGGCGATGGGTTAACTAGAGGAATGGACATCAGGATTCCCAGGCTCCAGGTGAATTCTACCATCTACTTTCTGACTGTTTGTGGACAACTAACTTGTATCTCAGTTTGCTCTGCTGCAAGATAGATTTAGGAACAGAAAAGATCTGTGAAATATTGTTGGCTAGTGAATTCCTTTTCTGTAAACTTACAGCTGTTCCTTTTTGCTGATATACCACTGTAGTTAAGTGCAATTTAAATCATTCTGTATAGAGTAGCAGGAAGCAGCTTTGCTTAAGAGATTATTTCAGTCTAAATCACAGGGAAATAAAGAATAGATTTCTCCTAGTTTAACTATTTCTAGCCTTTCTACACTTTAAACTGTTCTTCCTGTACTGGAAAGTGAACAGACATGCTATTGAACAAGAGGACTGCAAAGCCTCTCTTCTTTCAAAGCCTAGCATCTCTGGAAACAGCAAGTGGAAGCAATCACACAGGCAGCATCTGCTGGCGTCAGAATTTCAGAGGTGGCTATGTTTGCAGAGATCTTAGATTGAAATCTTGCCATCACTCCACAGATAAAATAGCTTTAGGAACAACTACATTCCAAGGCAGTTGATGTCAGCAGAGGTCTGTTATTGTTGCTTTCAGCACAGAGGAGTTGGCAGACTGATACACAGGCCACCAGACATTTATTCCAAGCCCTTGTCCCAAATTAGGCATTTGCCAAATAAAGAAGGGTAGCTCTTAAATCTGGCAGAGCAGCATGCACAAAACCCCAACCAAACCAGAACCAGGAGCAATAACCATTCTCCTCTCTTTTTTTTGCTCCTACCAGTTTTTTAAGCAGCCTAATGGGTGACTGTGATCCTAACCTCAGAAATACTTTGCATTTTCTTAGAATAAGGGGTGACTCATCCCAGTCACTTACTCATAATCACTGCAGATTGTTGCTTGTGGAAATGCATGCTTGCCAAGAACACAGCTCATTGGTGGGTAGGCTGAACACATTTTTCTTGGATAAAAACAAAGTTTCATTCTCCAGAAAGTTAATTAAGCCACTGAGCTGTCAGGCATCTAGAGAAGAGTTCACAGTATTCTATTATTAATTCAATATATTAGATAATTCTAAAATAAGTACTTCAAGGAAAAAAGTGGAGGTAACATCATTCAACAAGTGTTCAGCATTCTCCTCCACTATATAGAGATAGGAAAGTCAACTGCCTATATGCTTAAAATGCAATTAAAGCAAGGAGCTGTGTTTTAAAGTAACAGTACCCTGATATACTGCTTAAAATATTGAATATAATCTTTTATCTGGTTAAATACTCAGAAATTAGCACATAAATGTTTTCTGTAGCTACAAGAGGTGTCCTGATGGATTTTCTCAGTTTTTTTTTTTATTTAATAAGAAAATAAAGCACATCATACCTGAGTGGTCCATGCTGAATCGTCATCTAAACCTCCTGGAAGCCAACGGGGCTGTGCGGTTGCCTGTAGCCCCCTCTGCCGGAAAAAGCCGTGTTCTACAGAGAAAAGTACTGCTCACCCTTCACGAGTCAGTGTCACTGCCCTCACAAACCCACAACCAGCTGTGTGGAACAACAGATCTCGTTGATGAAAGCTGACTTTGCCTTAAAAATTGAGCTATGTAAAAGCAATCAAGCGCTCTACAGGTAGTTACACAGGAAATCATGATTTGAACACTGATGCTTTTAGGTCAAAGTTGAAGGTTTGACAGCAAAGAACACATGGAGGCTTCACTGCAGACACAAAATCTCAGTTGGGTTGTTTTTCCCCCGGAACATTAAAGGCTTCAGCAATGCAATGCAGATGGTTCTTTCCACTTTGCATAGGTACTGCTAAGATAATACCAAAATCTGGTCCCAAGGGCATAGCAGTGTCTGTGGTGTTAGACTTACATGATACTCCTCAGCCTGGTACTGTCTGCAGCTTCCTCTGCAGGTACTGGGTGCCACCTGCAGCCTCCCCCCCCTTTGTACAGGAGGCCAGCAGGGCTGGGAACCTGCCACAGCCACAGTTCAGTCACACCCTTCTGTTGGCAGCACAGGCACAGAGGCAGAAGGTTAGTAACAATGACATCAGCTTCTCAAGCAAAACACACAATAGGGTTACAATCAGTCATTGCTCTGATTGTCTTTAGAATAAAGCTTATTAGTTCCTGCAGCTTTGTTTTAGTATAAAGAAAAAGCCAGCTAATGCTGTACAGTCAAAAATATGAAGTTGTCATTAAGCAGCTCAGGTTATTGTGATTTTGGCACAACAGTATCTTTGCCAGCTCAGGTTATTGTGGATTTTACCTGTAGTGAAAGATACTGTTGTGCCAAAATCACAATCTCCTAATAATCTACCAGTGACAGTAAAAGAAGTGTCTGAGGCTATGTTCTGAGCTGGATGAAGGAACTCCCATAGCTCAAACAGCCCCACAGAAGTCTGCTCACACTGCTGAGTTCATAGGTGTTTACTTTGCAGGAAACATTGCTGCCAACCATATGAGAGGTATGAACATATACACAGACAACTGTCTGCTACCTTCAGTAACATTATTACTGTCCAGCAGCACCCAAGACCCAAAAAAAGTAGCTTACACATAGAAATCATTGTGTATAGGTAGATCATCAGCCTCCAGTTAGGGAGGGCACCATTCTTGCCAGCAGATGTGAAATAGGTAGTAGTAGACTTGCTCCACACCAATGAAAGTGAGAGTGACATCTTCTACATCAGTCATAACATTTACCAAAGTCTTGAGTAACAGCATGAGAATGGCAAACTAGATCTAGAAAGAATGCTGTTTCTAAATCAGGTATTCTTGGAGAAGAATTTCAAGAGCTACACCCAAATCCACTTTTTTATATATATGTGCATCTTAACATAGCCTTGGAAGCACACAGCAAACCAAACCACAAGACCAGACCAAATTCTTTCATCAGGTTCACTTAGCAGAAAGGTTTGGTTGTAGTACTTCAGCTTTTTTTATTCCCCTCCATAAAGGGAGAATCTGGACAACAGGACCACAATTGTTCTCCACCCAGCACACTCTCCCCCCTACCTGGCCCTGCACAACCACCTTTACCAACAGTTACTTGCTGTAAGTAATGATTTTAGAAAGGCCAATAGATTCCAAGAGCAGGCCTTCATCTTTGCTCTTTAGAGCAGGCAACTGCTTCAAAGCATTTCCTAGGCACTATGCTAAGGCTACCTAAACATACTTACCACTGGTTAACTGCTGTACTTACTCCTCCTTCTTCCACACCATTATTTGTAGTTTAGTTCTACTATAGTCTTTAAATATTTCTTCAAAAGGCATTATATAGTTTAGCTCAGTCATGAGCAGAGCACAAGAAGTAGATTTCTGTAAGACATACCTAGAGAGAAGCAGCAATTCATTTGTTCTGCAGTAATGGGCTCCTTGGGGTGACCAAGCTGTTCTAAACCCATCATCTTCAGAACTGAATCTCTCATGGCTTAGATCTGCATTCTTACCATTAAGCACTTTTGATTATGTATACTTAACATATCAGTTACCTTTTAATACAACAATTGACAGTTCAATCTGATGCATTAATATCACTTTATTGACCTTGAATATAAATCCTCTTTAAAAGCCTACTCAGTGTCTTGAATACAGCAACAGTTCATGTAGAAGGTAGTAGGTTATGAAGAGTTTTGCAGAGTAGTGGCTTGTGCTTGGCAAGAAGCCTGTACTGCCCATCTGCATCCTTAGCCCTGACAGTGGCAGTGAGAGCCAGAACGAACAAGTATTTACAAGTATGACGTTTACAGTTAGAAATTCACATATGTACAGTTTTGAACTGTTCAAGTATGTTTCAGTTGGACAAAGTGCTACAGGTCACATTAAAAAAACACATTAAAATAAGAGGAACTATTAAAAGAAATGGTGGCAGTCAAATGTTGCCAGCAACTTGTAGGTGGTTGCAGTATATGCAAGATCTAAAACTTGAAAGTATCTGGAGCATTGCCCTGAATTTGGAAAGTGTAGCTGGCAGCAGTAGATTCTGGTACAACATTTTGGTCTTCCTCCTCCTAGAAGAAACAGAAAGGGTTTTTAAAGAACAGTAGCATTTTAACCTTCTACTGAGTATTCTAATAGAGAAGTGGAAAAAAAAAAAGTCCTGCAGCCACTTACCTCTGCTGAGAAATATTTCTCAATCAGGGTGGATGAGGCTTTGTACACTTGTTCATTTTCATGTGACTGGAGAGCTTCAATTTTGTCTAGACCCCCACACTCCTCAATCATGAGGCAAAGTTTTTCAGTCTCATTAATCTTCTCAGCAGCCTGCAAGAGACAAGTACAAAGTAAACTCAGGAAAGAGGTGTGGCACCAGCCACTGGATAACAACTAGCAACACCCTGGACAATGCTCGAGTATGCTGCATCCACATACCAGAAAGATATTAAAAATAGCATCCAGGATAACTAGCACAGTCTTGCTGTCTTTAGCAGAGAGGAGATTCAGCAGGGGTTCAACAACACCAGCCTGAACGAGGTACACAATCTGGTCAATTGTTCCACCACTTGTGTAGTTGGTCACAGCCCATACAGCTTCCTTTTGAGATTTGAAGTCCCCCTGTGAAGGCAGAAGCAGTGTATTTGAACACTGATAGTGGTAGTAATAGTGAAAGCCTCAGCACAGTAAACTTTAGTTTACCTTCCTCAGAATGCCAATGAGATAAGGCACAAGACCATGGTCTACAACTCGCTGAATCTGATCCTGACGTCCAGCAGTGATGTTTGACATGGTCCATGCTGCTTCTTTCTGAATGTTGTGTTTATGGTGAGAAAGGAGACTTGGAAAGACAGCTAGTGCTCCCGAGTCAATAACAAGCTGAGTCTGCTCATCAGTACCAGTGACAATGTTTCCTATGGCTCTTAATGAAGGAGTCTGAAACAAATATGGAAATAGTACTTAAAAAAATTGGTAGCATCTAATTCATGTTTGAGCAGATACAGCCTTACTGGATACCCCTCTGCTCTAGCCTTCATGGCATATGCTATGTGCTGGTGAGTTTTAAGCCCCTCATTAGCATTACAGTTGCAGACAGTAAATGTGCTACAGCTGCACACCTTCCAAGGCCAATCTGTAAACAACTACCCTGACAGGGCTTAAGAAAACTATCTCCTAAGAGTATATTTATAGTGTGCACAGATCCCATTTCTGAACTGTTGTGCTGGCCTGAATGTTAAATCCATTGATGATGTAAAGAAGCTCAATATTCATCAACAGCAATTGTCTGTGTCTCATGTGGGGCAGTTTTCAGGCAAGAAAGAAGCTCAAGTCTTACCTCCACAAAAGCTAGAACAAGCAATTTGTGTATGAAAAGAGCTTTTCAGTTACATGGACACTACTCTAACTGCACTTTTCCCACCCCCCTCAAGCAACAGCAATTTGCATGTCTTACCATTATTGGCAGTTCACTACATCCCAGAAGTTTCACAAGCTGTGGCACCAGTCCAGTTTTCACTACAACTTCTATCCTGTCATTGGAGCCATCTGTTAGGTAGGAAAGTGCCCAGCATGTGTCTGCTAACACCTCAGGATCATCATGGTGCAAGAGCCGAACCAGAGTTGGCAGAATCTGCTCAATGGCATCTATGGGTGGTGCAGGATTCTTGTTACGACACAGGTTTGAGAGCGTCCAGGTCACGTTGCGTAAATACCCAGACTGCAAGAGTGGAAATAAATGGTTAGCAGCTGCTTAGTTTACTTGCTCATTAGTAATTATAATCGAGTGATACTGCACACTTACAGCCAGAGAAGAGAGATCAGGAACAGCCAGGAGACTCAGCAGGGGCTCAATGGCACCAAACTTAATAACCAGGTCTCGATAGGCAGAACCGTCCCCTGAGAAAACAAGGCCAGCAGGTGAAGACCCAAAGAGTGGAATGTGTGCACACAGAACCATTGTGTGTTAGAGGACAAATTTGCCTGCTGCTTAAGAAGGGCTAGATAAAATAAGGACAAAAGCACTACTGCCATGGTTAAGTCACATGACAAGCATGTGTTTTGCTAGTCAAGCCACTGAGCTTTGTTTCTTTCTGTTAGAAAAGGATAGTTTTTTTTCTATACAGCTTTTCTTAGAGTTCATAGCTAGAGGGACTTGTGTTTCTTTGAAAACATATCTAAGAATACCACTAGAAAAGATCCCCTCCCATAATATGGGACTTCAAAAGCATCATAATCATTGGTTGCATGATAGGGTTCTATAGTATAATGTTGATGGAGTGGCAAAGTTTGACTGAATTATTCTATTGCAAGCTGCAAAATATACTTTATAAGTGATTTTAAAAATCTCCAAGGAAAAGCTTTCAGAAAGCTCCAATCAAACAAGGCTTTTACTGAGCTCTGTGTGAAGACTCACTATTCTCTGTAAGGCACAGCTGTTGGAAACTACAACATGGCACATATGATATTTAGCTACACTATTCATTCGGACAGGTTTTTTTTTAAGACTAGGATCCAATACTGGCAGATCCAGTAATCCTGAAAGGTGCACAGGAAGATTCAGTATATACAACTTTCACATCAGCAAGTAGCTGTTTCAGAGCAAAGAATGTTGGCCATCACATACACAGTTATGGGAGCCATCTGCTTCCTCCCTTCCCCGTTTAGTTAACACCCAGAGCAGAGCTCACCGACAGTCACAAACCATCCAGTGAGACATGTGGAAAAGCCCTGTGGCACCATGGTTATGTGGCTCTGCCAGAGCTGAACTATGGAAGCAATCCACATAGCAACCTGCAGGTTGCCAAGTCTTATTGCACGAGACATCTTATACCAGGCTGAAGATGAAGGATTATGTGTAGCATACTCTAAATTGCAGAGCATGTCTTAACTTGAAAACCATTACTGCAGGTTTCCCAAGCTAGACAGGCTGTGTGACCTGTCAGTAGTAACATCCTCCTATTTAGCAAGAGTTGTGTAGCATAGTGACATACCTGCAATGTTTCCCAGGGCCCACACAGCCTGTTCACTGATGTGAGTGTGGGGAGAGGCCAGCAGTGAAATAAAGGCTGGAATGGCCCCTCCATCTACTACGGCCTTGGTCTGCTCCGACGTGCCAGAGGCAATGTTGGTAAGTGCCCAGGCAGATTCAAACTGAATAGGACTACAGTCTGCTCTGCCCAGGAAGGAGACAAACCTGGGAATCAGACCAGCCCGAATTATGTTGTCTATTGGGGGCTGCTTCTCTCTTGAGAGGAGTTTCCTGAGGAGGAAGTCAAACAGAAAGAATTATTTTTTTTCTGCAGAGATGTGAACACATTAAACAGTCTAAAAAGACCCATATTTGAAAAAAGACTTTGCATTGCCTTAACGTTTAGACATGACAAGACAAAGGAGAAATACAGACAAGTTGAACACTAGCTTCCTAAACCTACATTAACATTGGTTTTGGCATGTCTTCACTACACAAAAGCTTCTGTTCAGACTGAAACAAAGCAGACCTGAAAGAGTCATAACACATCTCAATTGCTAGAGGCTTCTCAGCAGAGGGAGGTTAATGACTTTCAGCAGCAGCACCACAGTAGTAGAGAAGCTTGCTAAGGGAGATTTTAAATTGGGAAGAAAAAAGTAAACCTGATGTACTTCAAACCCCAGTCCCCTTGCTGTTCACATTATTCTAAGGTGGATGGCTGCACTCAAATATTGCACTCAGGTGTTAACAGTTCAAAGATATCTTTATTTGCTATACCAAAGGGTCTATTACAATTACTCCTACAACTCTAAGACTAGCACTTATTTTGCCACCTCAAAACCACTAGAAAGAATTACTGCTTCCAAGTAAAACTTTTGTGCATATAAACCTTCAAAAGGCACACAGTTTTAATAAAGTTTTGACTAGTGTACCTAAACATAGTACATAAGGCTGACTCAGGTGTTTGTTGAAATCCCATCTGGTCAGGGCAGCCTCAGCAGCTGCTATAAGCAGACACATCAGCTCACAAGCCAGTTCTTTCACCTTGCCCAGTTACTGGCTGGCACCTCACCTGGCAGCTTGAGTAGCATGCAGCTGAAGCTCCGTATTATTGCTATTGACTCCTTTGACTATGTCTTCAACTGACCAGTGTGCTGAAACCTGCACAAAAAAAAGTTACATGACACATGTCTTTCCTAACACAACATTCTGTGACTGCAGAGGCCTTCTGTACAATACTATGAACAGACCAGCTCATAACCACTTCCTTCATTAAGAAATCACACCACTATGTGATCCTCCAAAACCTCATCAGCTGCAGTTCTATCTGCAGTCACCTGAACTTCTGAAAGATTTTTAACCAAGTGCTTCACATCACTGTCACACCAGGCTCAAACACAACAGCCTAAGCTACATTTTAAGAATGTTATCCATTAGAGTTAATAATACAGACTTAAGTGGGCAATGTACATGCAGTAGTGCTGTCCCCCAACATGAGAAATGTATGAATAGCTCCTACACAAGCTTATTTTGCAAGACCTCCAAGCATGCCTGTTCCAAGTACCTACTTACCTGATTGCTCCTGTTTTCCTGAAGGGGAGAAGTAGCATCATCTGGTAAAGTGCTAACATTTCTTCTTTTCAGCATCTGGTCATCTTTCTTAGCTTTCCTCAGCTCTACGTTGACTTCAATGCGCCGCCTTCTCATTTCCTGGAGGATACACATTCATTGTAAGTTCTCAGCTTTCACGACTCATACTTAAAGATGTATTGGCTAGTTAAAATACAAACTACATAGAAATACTCACTGTAGTGTCCTTTCCTTTGTTCTTGAATCTGTTCAGCCGAGCTACTGGGGTATTGGCATTCTCATTAGTAGACATCTTGCTTATTTGATTTTTGAGAGGCAAAGATAAAAACAAGCCTAGGAGCAGAGCAAGGAATAAAGTTTACTTCAAAACAGTCAGATTTAAAAGCTGGGACCAAGACACAAGAATGAGAAACACTTGCACATTATGAGATACAACAGCCTCTGACTTGATAGAGGACACGGGTAACACAACAGCTGTCTCTTTAAGCACCATGTTAAAGCAATCTTTAACATTTAACACAAAAGCAGTAGAAATACACCTCGTTCTACAACACTTCCACCTACAAGCATTATTAGAGTCACTATTCTTAGCATCAATACTGGTCTTTCTTCCCATAGGGAGCACACATTTCTGAATACCGATTTTCACTCTCATAATGCACAGGCACTGCACCCAGTCCCTCCCCGACCCCTTTTGATGGGAACAGCGAGATTCCACACGAGGAAGATCCCTCGGGGAGGCTCTGCCGTGCCGGTGCAGCCAACAGCAGCAGCTACACTGATAACGAGGCATGCCTCTGCACCTTGGTCTGCTCCAAGCTCACCCACAGCAGAAGGGCTGGATTCGTTCGGGCCACAACCCAGCCGGAGCTCACAACCGGCTCCGGGACGCGTCAGCTCCCCTCTAAGCAGGGACTGCCTAGACGGCCGTGGAGGGAGCCCGCACACGGACTGCCGGCGGAGCCCGGCCCCTCCCGACAGAGCAGCGCGCGGCCCGCA